TCAGTCAGGGGCAATGCTCCCTCTAAGCTGTGGAGTCTTGTGAGCAAAAATTCTACTTTGTGAGCTATTGGCATGAAAGTTGTGAGCAAGTGATTTGGCTGCTGCATAAATTAGTTTGCTCTGGAGCCATCCTTCCTGAGCTAAGACCAATATGTGTGAGCCAGAGGCTAAAAAACTGTGAGCTAGCTCACACTAACTCAGCTTAGAGGGAACACTGGTCAGGGGGCATTGGTATCCTACAAAAACCACAATGAAATGAGTGGACCTGTTGTCTAGCAGCAGAGCTTAGTGGACTGTGCCTCATTGGTATAGGCATATGCCTTCCAAGTTCTACCGTCCAAGATGAACTACAGCAGATAGCCTCTGTAATGTCTCTTTCCTTGGAAAAGTAGGAAGTACCAAACAATACATATTTGAAAAACCCAATACACAAATATGACAAATCTCAGAGTGACTTTCATTTAGCCAATGCAGCTGCATGTTTTACTTTCTATTCATTCTTTCTATTCATTGGATAAGCTTAATGATGTCAGTGCATACAGTAGAAGCTACAAGGACTTTCTGACCTTAAAATCCTTTTAAAGTCCTTTTAGATTCTCTTATTTAAAATGTATGTACACAGTCTTGAGTCTCCTCAAAACTGCTACAATCAGTCAATGGATAAAATTAATGGGCGGCTGTGTTACTCTTTTGTATAAGCTAATGAACAAAAGCTGGCAATGGAATTCTTTGTGTATGTGTGTGTCTGAGGAACAGATTAATGGGAAATTTACAAATTCTACACAGTTCAGTTTGTACCTCCATTCCTTCCATATTGTTAACTGTTCGATGCAACCAAATCCTTCAGTTGTTTGTGCACACATCTTTTTGTTTTGTGATTGTGCCGTGATTGATTCGTAAAAGTATAAAAATCATTCCAGCTGTATCTTTTACTGATAACACTGTAAAACTTGGTAACCCATGCCAATTTTTATTTAAACTTGTTTCATATTCTACACACAATAGCAACACTAAGTCATTTCACCTGTATATATCAAAGAACAGGTAACAGCAACAAAGCTTTTTAAATACAAAAAAAAAAGAAAAAAGAAAATATGTAGCCCAAGAACCTGACATTCCTTGTGCCCTGTGAATAAGTAAATTGCATGGAATTGATGTGCAAACATTGGGGCATGTATTTGGGGGTGTACTATTGGGATATTTGGTTAATACAGCAGAGTTTTGCCTTGTCATAGAAGCATGATACTGAGTGCAGTAAATAAAACTCCCAGGAAGTATATTGCAAAAAACTTACATTTATTCAAGTAGATCCAGAACAAAGTTTGAGTCCAGTGACACCTTTCAGACCAACAAAGTTTTATTCAAAGTGTAAGCTTTTGTGTGCAAAACACACTTCTTCAGACAAAACTGGAATAGAATCTCAAAAGCTAGTTACAGGGGGAAAAGAGGCTGGGGGTAAGCCATTAGGAGAGGCCACTCAAACCCTAGATGCATATGCAGAGCTGAAATTGGAATGGGTGGCCAGTAGGATCAATAGATGGCAGCAAATTAGCATGTCAATGCAAATGTTAACAAAGAGATGTGAGAATGAAACTGGAGTCCAGCAGCACCCCCAAGAAAAACCAAGCTCAACCCCGTGTACATGTGAGACTCAGCATGTGCTCTGAGTGGCCTCTCCTACTGGCTTTCCCCCCGCCTCTTTTTTCCTGTAACTAGCTTTTGAGATTTTATTCCAGTTTTGTCTGAAGAACTGTGTTTTCCACATGAAAGCTTACACTTCGAATAAAACTTTGTTGGTCTCAAAGGTGCCACCGGACTCAAACTGTCTTCTGCTGCTTCTGACCAACACGGCTACCCACACGGATCTATCAAGTAGATCCAGTTCACATTCAGGTTGCAGTCAAAAGAAGAGGGAAAAAGCCTAATCTAATGAGTCCTTTCCCTATCACAAATGGCCGGTTGGTCAGACATCATGTATGTGTGAGTGTGAGGGCATTGTATGTACAGGAGAGAGCAGCAGAGACATGAGTCTCCATGGAAGGCCATATGAAGTGAGATGGGAGGATAAAGTGAGAGAGTGGAGGGGTCCGATGGCAGCTCCCAGGTTAAGACAAAGAGAGGCATCCTATTCAAGGAGATAACACCTACACACACTTAGAGTGATGTAGCGCCCCCCCCCCTGTGCCCAGGCATGCTGAGTTGCTCACTCCAACATGTAGGCAAAACTCCCTGTCCCTGTAGTACAGTACTTTCCAATGCAGAAATTGCCATTTTATTACCATAGTCCCCACCCATTTTGTATGTATAGGTGTGCTACATTCAAAATGGTGTTGTAATAATGGATGGGAGCAGGAAGACAGCAAGTAGTAATGAAGGAGGAGGAGGAGGAGATTGGATTCATACCCCCCCTTCACTCAGCATCTCAGAGCAGCTTACAAACTCCTTTCCCTTCCCCTCCCCACAACAGACACTCTGTGAGGTAGGTGGGGCTGAGAGAGCTCTTTCGAGAACTGCTCTTTCAAGGACAGCTCTTATCAGAACTATGGCTTACCCAAGGTCATCCAGCAGCTTCAAGTGGAGGAGTGGGGAATTAAACCCAATTCTCCCAGATTAGAGTCCATGCACTTAACTACTACACCAAACTGGCTCTCACACCAAACTAGATAGCAAGCCCACTTAATCATCCCTTCAGCTCCAAAACTGATGCTCGGTTCCAATCTTCACAATCAGCCCAAGCAAACAGAATATTTCATTATGTTCCACACATTTGTGTGTGTGTGTGTAGTGTAACAAAAATTGCTCTCAGGATGGAGTAAATCAAGGCTGACTTTGTCTTTTAAATTATTCAAATATATTTTCAGTTGTCTGGTAGATGCAAAATGTAATCAGCTACTCTGTTACATCAACCCAATGCTCAATGACTCTGAGCCCATTCAGCATGTAGTACTATCAGTAGGTTTGCTCCTCCTGTTTAAATGTCCTGATTCCAAAGTGGTACTTTTACCACTTCTGTTTCAAAACAAGACACCCAAAACAGCTGCAATGGGTATATCTGCTGGAGTGAGAAACTCAGTATGCCTCAACATTGGGGGGAGCGGGGAGCCCTACGTCACTCTAACTATATATAGTTACCTCCTTGAATGGGGTTGCCCGGTCTTAACCTGGGAGCTTCCCTCTGACCACTCCTCCCTCTCTTTTTGTCCTTTCATCTCACTGCACATGGCCTTCCATGGAGAGACATGTCTCTGCAGGTCTCTCCTGTAGATACAATCAATGCTTCCTCTTAGCTGTGGAGTCTTGTGAGGAAACATTCTACTTTGTGAGCTACTGCATTAAAGATGTGAGTGAGCGATTTGGCTGCAGCATAAATTCGTTTGCTCTGGAGCCATCCTTCCTGAGCCAAGACAAAAATGTGTGAGCCGGAGGGTAAAAAACTGTGAGCTAGCTCACACTAACTCAGCTTAGAGGGAACACTGGATACTGTGCCCTCATACTCCCACACACATGATACCAGGCAAGCTGGCTGTCTGTGATAGGGAAAGTGCTCTTTAGATTAGGCTTCTTTCTCTTGTTTTGACTGCAATCTGAATGTGAACTGGATCTACTTGAATAAATGTAAGTTGGAAGCAGCACGTGCTTCTGTTTTTACCTTTAGATGATTAACTTGAAATAGAGACCCCAAGTGGTTTCAGCGTCAGCCCCTGTGAACTGTTTAGGTGAAGATCTTGGAGTTTTTTCTTTAAGAGTGCCACAGCTGCAAATAATAATTAACTACTTGGCCTTGAGTGGCCAGCAGACAGTTTAATATCAGATTTTTTCCTTTAGACCTAAGCTAATTTACTAAGTTGTGCTGGGCCAAGGAGCATGAAACTTTGTGAACGCTGATATGTTTTGATATTCACTGCTGGGGTGTGGTGATTAGTTGTTCCTTTCTTGTAATCATCTTCAATAAACTCTGCGGAGCTTTCTGAAAGCTGAAGTGTGAAGTGTCGTCCTTAATGGGTGTCTCGCTCCCTTTGCCCAGAGTTGAACTGGATATGAAGAGGTGAGCCTTCAAAGCACAAAGTACTTTTTAATTTTGATAAAGCAAAAACGAGTTGCTTTTTGCCAACCTGAGGCCTTGAACCCTGACAGACCTTGGCAGAAGAACTGAGAGTGAAGCTTCGGGTTCACACATGGTGGCAGCGAAGTAGGAAACTCTGGGTGGGGCTGTTATAGAATGCTGTCTCCAGCTTGAAAGCTTGACAGGAGAAGCACTCAGTATTACACTTCTATGACTGGGCAAAACTCTGCTATATTAACCGAATATCCCAATAATATTCATCCTAGCTTCATACAATATTCTGCCTATTTCCATGTTAACACTTTGCACATTTAGAAAGATCTGCACAGACGTTTCAGTTCTTTCATCCACCCATACACAGCAGCATCCCATGCTAATTTCCATGCACATAAAGCGGAATAGCGAATTTGATCTTACATAGATTATATTGCAGGACACTTTAAGATATTCCACACACACAGCACAATATCCTTACTTTTGGATGATCTCCAAATCAGGACAATTGTTTGATACTGATTATAGAATTGCAGGATCTGCTTAAATTAGCACTGTTGTGTCTATGATTTTTTTTTAAATCCCTTTTCTTTGCAAAATTATATAAAACATTCTCAGAAATAACAGTGTAAAGATTTAATTTTGTATATTCAGTTAAAAAGAAGTCTTGCTTAGTTATCTGGCATAATATTTCCAAAACCAAAAAATCGTGGTCTTTGAAAATTATGCCAAGAAAAGGATATTAGGGACCAAGGTTTTTTCCCCATATTGAACATATGCCTTTTCACCAGCTGTTAATGGAAACAGAATTTCAATAAAGTAAATATAATTTATCAACACGAACCTTAAAATACTTTCTCAGCTGTGGGAGCTCTTGTGCTTTTTTACAAGTCCATTCACATGAAAAACCACAATGAGAGATAAAGACATTTATTTTTGCTGCTCACACATGTGTACAATTGGTAGATGGTGGTGTATCAATATTACTCTTACTCTCTTTAACTTCATTCAGAGGTACTTTGTTACTTATCTGGCATTTGAACACTTGCTTATAGGCCTTCCGAAAATTCTCAGAGAGAAATGCATATATGATAGGATTCACAGAAGAATTACTATAAGCCAGGCAATGAGCTGCCACTCTGAAGACAAATGAAGCCTGAGTCAGAGGGAAAACTCCAAATTCAGCCCAGAGGTGTACGATATGATGCGGTAGCCAGGATATTCCAAAAACAACCACTACCACCAGGACCGTCTGTGCTGTCTAAGACAAAAAAAAAGTAAAGAAACAATACATCATACAACGTAGGCTTAGAATTCATTACTAATATCCATGGGAAAGAATGGAAAGGAAGTCAGTTATCATACATGTTTCTTTGGTACACTGAAGTAGTACACATTAATATACCCTTTTTGCCCCTCTACCTGTCTTCTCACATAAGGCAAGCCTAGGCTTGCCAAGTCCCCCCGGGGGGGCGGGGAAACCCCCACCCAAGAGGCCCATTACCCGCTGGTGGCGGATCGGGCCCCGGGAGGAACCCCACCCCCAAAGCACGCGACGTGCCCAGCATCAGCACGTCACCCGGAAATGATGCAGTCGCATTGGGAGTGTTGGGGGCGGGGCCACAGTCATCCGAGGGAAAACTCTATGGTTTTCCCTTGGATGATTGTGGCCCTGCCCCCGGCATCCCTGATGTGGTTTCGTCACTTCCGGGTGATGTAACTGTGGCGCGAGCGCGCTTCGCACACAGACTCTCGGAGCAGCGCTGGAATCCCCCGCTCAACATACAGTAAGGACTTGGCAACCCTAGGCATGCCAGAAGGAGAAAAACAGCAAACTGCAAATAATCCAGAGGAATTAAGGGGGAAATACAGAAAAAAGAGATGTATTTAGCCCTTCCATAATTTCATGTGAATGACCCACCTGTTTTAGTATAATATCACACTGACACACAATTAACCTGAAAGTCTGTGAAAATCATAAAATTATCTTCAATGAGAAAGGGGAAGGGATCCTACTTTTGATTTATCATCCTTTGGTGAGGCAGGCCTCAGCCCCTATGCTCTGTTTCACATCCAGGGCAATAGGGTGACCACTATATGAAACAGGATGCTGGAACTAGATGGACCACTGGTCTAATCAAGCAAACCCTTCTTATGTTCTGATGTTCTTAGATAGGGTTGCCAGTTCTGAATTGGGAAATACCTGGAGATTTGGGGGGTGGAGAAAAGGTTGGGGCTTTGGGTGGGACTTCAATGGGGTATAGTGCCATAGAGTTCACCTTCCAATGCAGTCATTTTCATCAGGGAAACTGTTGCCTGGAGACCAGTTGTAATCCCAGGACATCTCCAGCTACCACCTGAAGGTTCACAAGCCTATGCTTAGGACAGAAATCAGCTCTGTCTTTTACTCTTAACAAAAAACAAATTTTATTTCCTGGCATACATAGATCACATAACAAATTCTTTTCTAAGTATGTATGTTTATCATCCCTTGCTTATTCAAAATTGCAAAGCTCATAACTAGTGCTGCCAAGAAGAGAAGAAGAAGAAGAGATTGGATTTATACCCCGCCCTTCACTACCCAAAGGTGTCTCAGAGCGGCTTACAAACTCCTTTCCCTTCCCCTCCCCACAACAGACACCCTGTGAGGTGGGTGGGGCTGAGAGAACTCTGACACAAACTGCTCTTTTTCAAGGACAGCTGTGCCAGAGCTTGCGACTGACCCAAGGTCACATCAGCAGGTGCAAGTGGAGGAGTGGGGAATCAAACCTGGTTCTCCCAGATTAGAGTCCACACACTTAACCACTACACCAAACTGGCTCTCCAAGTATCTGGTATTGGCCCAGACAGTAAGACACACAGAGGGGAAAACAAACTTGACCCAAAAACTGGAACCAAGAACCACAAGGGTAAGAAAGAAGTCTGATAAAGGGCCAATATTAAAAACCTAGTGTAAACTTATAATATACAAAGATTAGAAAGACAGTTAAAAACAAATAAGGCCCCAATGAAAGCCTCATTATAATGTTCAAGTGGCCTGAACACAAGGGCCAATATCAGTGACCTGACGTGTTATTGATATTCAATTTTCTTTTTTCTACAGCTTTCCTTTTTTGGACCAGTATTAACTTACTAGTTATTTTATTGTAATATATGATATTGTAATATGTGTACCTCAAACTGTTTGACCTCTGAAGAAGGCCCCCAATAGAAACATGTCAGGTCACTTGTATAGGCTAGGGTTGTCGGGTCCCCCCGGTGGGGGCAGGGGTTTGCCTGCTCCATGGGCCCCTTACCTGCCAGCCTGGATCACGGAGATGTGCCTGGCATCATGATGTCACCTAGAGGTGATGTCATCACACCGGGCACATTGAGGGGGGGATGCTCTATCATTCGAAGGAAAACTCTCTGTTTTTCCCTCGAATGATGGTGGTCCCACCCCCAATGTGCCCAACACAATGACGTCACAGTGCGCATGCATTGTGCGAGTGCTGAAGAAATCCCAGGGAGTGCCAGGACTCCCCTGTCACAGCTACAGGTAGGACCTGGCAACCCTAGTATTGGCCCTTGTGTTCAGGCCACTCGGATATTTCAACGAAGCTTTCATGGGGCCCTTATTTGTTTTTAACTGCCTTTCTAATAAATATGTGTATCTTTGTATATTATTACACTAGGTTTTTAATATTGGCCCAGGCAGTCCCGTATTTTCACTGACTGGGAAAATGTGAAAAAATACAGGACATTTAAATGTCAGGCCTGCTCTGGCCACCCTCAGCATCACAAGTAAGCTGTGAGCCAAGGGGAGGAGGCCAGCTGACAAAGAAGGCACCAGGGCAGAAGGGCAGGGTTGGAAGAGGCTGGATGAAGCAGCTGCTGTGGCATGTAGGCTTTGGTGCTCCCAAGGAAGCAAAGGGGAACATGGCGGTCCTCTTGTTTTCACAACAGTGAAACAGTACTGGGTATAGGGGTTTCTTACACTAGCACTCATCCATGTGGGGAACAATGGAATATCATTTGTGCTCCCCACCCCCACCCCACTGTAGATAAAGGAAGAGGGGAGAGGTATAACCCTGCTTACATTCTCACTGCACTGGAGGCAGAGGAAGACTGTGTGGCGTCGGTAGGCCGATCACTTGCATGCATTTTAGTTGACAAACTCTGCATTCATTTGCATTTAAAATAATACTTGATTTATTTACCTCATTTATGTCCTGCCTTTCTCCCTCAAATGGGGCTCTGGAGAGAGAAGCATGTTTACTTGGTTTGCAAATCATGCACACCTGAGTCTTTGACACTGTATTCTTGAAAGAGAAGGGTGAAAGGGGGGAGCAAAATCTCTACAAAGATTAAAACGGGCATTCTGTCCCCTGTGTGTGTGAGAGAGAGGGGGTATGCCTTTTCTGAACTGGAGGCTCCCACTTACCTTTTTAAAAATACTCATATTTCAAAGGTTTTTCAAATATAAGAACATAAGAGAAGCCAATGTTAGATCAGGCCAATGACCCATCCAGTCCAACACTCTGTCACACAGTGGCCAGAAATACCAGGTGCCATCAGGAGGTCCAGCAGTGGGACCAGGACACCAGAAGCCCTCCCATTGTTGCCCCCCCCAAGCACCAAGAATACAGTGCATCACTTGCCCCAGACTGAGAGTTCCTATCTATACCTTGTGACCAGGGGTCATTTCATAGAAAAAGAGCTAGGGGGACTCATTAGCATAACGCATTAGCATATGCCACACCCCCTGACATCACCGGAAGTGTGTCCTCCCCACAGCCGGTGGCGACCTCCAGCGGGCACCAGCAGGGAGCTCCAGGCCCCGCCCTCCCGCACCTCACCCAGGGGGATGGCGTCCCCCCTTTGGGTGAAGAAGTACTTCCTTTTATCTGATCTAACCCAACTGCTCAGCACTTTCATGGAGTGCCCATGAGTTCTTGTATTGTGAGACAGGGAGCAAAGTACTTTCTCTACCTGCTCTATCCCATGCATAATCTTATAAACCTCAATCATGTCACCCCTCAGCAGTCATTTCTCCAAGCTAAAGAGCCTCAAGCACTTTAACCTTTCTTCATAGGGAAAGTGTTCCAACCTTTTTATCATTTTAGTTGCCCTATATCAGCTGCCCCACTAATCGTATGGGTCTTCACAACATAAGAACGGCCCTTCAGGAGCAGACCAGTGGTTCATTTAGTCCAGAATTATGTTTCTGATAGATAGGCACCCTCCACAAAGCCCATAAGCAAGGTTTGCAGGCCCAAACCTCACTCTGTTGTCACCATTCAGAACCTGTCATTGAGGTATACTGCTTTTGAACATTTATTTATTTAAACATTTCTGTCCTGCCGTATTTCCTTGGACTCAAGCTGGTGAACAATGCAGCAAATGGTTCATGAAGATGCAAGTGATAACAATTGAAATTAACAAATTAATACCCAGAGGAACACAAAGATTCCACTGAGCCATCCTAGCTAATAGCCATTGCTGGACCTTCCCCTACATTTATCTAATTGTGTTTTAAATCCAACTTCATCTATTGGCCATCATACCAATCCACTCTAGCAAGTTATGCATATTGTGGCAGCTGATCTGTCCAAAGCATTTTTTAAAGGGATGTAAGTAACATTGTAGGTTTACTAGAAAGCAAACTTCTCTCATGCAAAGAGTGTGATGATGCTCATAAGGGATCCTGTCAAAACCAACAAGAAATCATGGTTTCAAATTTGTGATGAATGGGAATCCTGTCTGATAACTGGGGTTAAAGCAGGATGGGAAATTTGCTCTGAGTGAGTAAAGATGCACATGGTTCCGTTATGCTCACCACCTTGTGGAGAACAGATGTGTGCCTTCACAGCTCTGTTTATATGGGGGTGGGTGGGGCTGAAGTCAGGACTCTTAACTCACACTCTCTGTATGCATGTCTGGCAAATGTGATACTGGGTGGTGGGTTCAGCTTCCTGAGAATCTCTAGAATCATTCTTTTAAAAAATAAAGCAAGTTTCTTGCCCTCATGAATGCAGATTGTTTTTTATTCTACTTTCCACCCCCCAAACTGGCTCTCAAAACAGCTCCTGTGCATTGAAATCATAATACAAATGATGACTGAAGAGTCATACAAAATGTGTCTTTGCGGGGAGGAGATTCTCCGAGTTGTTCGTTTAGAATGATTTATTAGCATTGGCAATGCTTTATATATCTACGGTGAAAGGGATGCTTGTGATCTGTAATAGATTAATAAAGAAAAATAAGATGTAACATAGAATGTCATTGTTAAACTTCCCATATTGGGGGGGGGGGTTGTCCCAAAATATTTTTACCAAGTGTGTTGAAACCATCTGGCAACCCTACTTATGTGGTTGCCAGTCTCTCGATGGTAGCTGGAGGCCTCCTAGTATTACAACTGCTCTCCCGGTTACAGAGATCAGTTCCCTGGAGAAAAGTGATGCCTTGGAAGGTGGAATCTGTGGCATTATACCCTGCTGAGGTCTCTCCCCCCCAAAACCCCACCGTCCTCAGGCCTCACCACCAAATCCCCCAGGAATTTCCCAACCCAGTGCTGGCAACCCTACTTATGGCTCCCTGCTTATGCACAAGAGACTTCCAAATGTAACAGATGGCAAGCTCTGTGCCTCTTCCTCTTAAATCTATCCTACCTGTGACAGATACTCCCTTTGGCAAAAATAATTGTACATACTAGTGTGACAATCCCCGATAACATCTTATCCTATTATATTTCTGAAAGTCCTACAACAGTATTCATGTAATTTGCAGTCAAGGAAAAACTGCAGAGCTGTTCTTGTTTATTTAATGGAATGCTCCCTAGCAAATAAAAGTACATGAAATATAAATCTAGGGGACATGAAGTACACTTCCAATGTCTTATCCATAGTTATATATCACACCTGCTTTTTGAAATATGATACTACAGTACTTACTCATGAGTAAAAATACTAGTTGGTAAGAATACCAGCCTGCCACTTGTAATGAAATCTTGGGATATTATGCATGCTTGCTCATTGGCAAACACCCTAGACTGATAATTCAAGCTGAAGGCCAAAAACCCATCCACAAAATATCTGACATTAAGTATACTGGCCTGGCATTACAAATAGCAGCTGCAGTCCCTGTCTAGTAACATCTACACAGGACTAAGGGTGCAAGTCTTCTGCTTCCTCCTTCTTATGTTCTTGTACATTAATTATCTCTAAGTTATTCCTTGTGTGTGTGCTGTAAATGTCAAATAAGCAGTGCAAAAACTGATTAGATAAATGAGGGAAAATCAGAATTTCTTCTTCTTGAAAAAACTGCCAACATTTATTGAGAGAACAAATGAGACAACAACTGGGTTAAGAACATGAGAGACACCCTGCTGGATCAGGCCAGTGGTCCATTTAATCCAGCATGCTGTTTCACACTGTGGCCAACCAATTCCCCTGGTTTATTCATTGAAGACATATGGTGAGTTTTGGTTTGTTTATTTTACATTTGTTAGTAAATGGCAGCACCATCAGATTTTATCTCTGTGTTTACTAACACACCTTGGTACATGCCACTGAGTACTAATAAAATAACAAAATGTAAATAGAATGTCAGTAGCAAGAGTCTTGGTTAGCACACCTGTATAAAATATGTCAGTTCTTCCTGACCATAACTGTGCTGCATCACCAAAGAAATAAACAGTGTCACTCACAGCCTCCAAGAAGGTCTAATGTTTGCTTTAGATCTTTTGAACTCACCACTTACCACAGTCATTATTTATGCATAAGGAAGGAAGGAAGGAAGGAAGGAAGGAAGGAAGGAAGGAAGGAAGGAAGGAAGGAAGGAAGGAACCAGATAAACCTAACGGGCAGGGCTATTTTGGGGCAGGAACGCACAGGAACGGAGTTCTGGCTGGCTCCTGAGTTGGCCACGCCCAGCAGGAACTCATTAGCATAATAGGCCACACCTAACAGTAGACACTCATTAGGATTGCCTACATTAGGGGTGTGTGGCCTAACATGCAAAGAAGTTCCTGCTACAAAAAAGGCCCAGGGTTTTGACAACAAAATAAACAGAATAAGAAGCAAAAGGTGGGTGTGGTTGGATGACCACACTTCTGGTAACATGTGGGGTGTGGCCTAATATGCTAATGGTTTCTGCTTTTGGGTGTGGCCTATTATGCTAATGAGTTCCTGCTGGGCTTTTTCTACAAAAAAGCCCTGCTAACAGGTACTAACTGCAGAGCAGCCTCCATGCATTTTAAAGGAGTACACACAAGAACTTCATGTAAGGCATACTCAAATGAGTGTAAACTAATGAGCACTTATTAGGTTGGTCCTATTGTCACTCAGACATACTTACACTTTAAAGTCTGGCTATGGATTTTTCATACCCTTCGATTCCCAATGATGTATGGTTATAGAATCAAATAATTAAAATGCAAATTAGAACCAGGGGTGGGGGGATTAGAATACTGGTGAATTTGTCTGCAACATAATGAATTCAGGAATGTGCAAATGTATGCAAGCTTGAATAACAACAGAAATTCTATGGCAAATTCCTACGCATGAAATAATTACTGACTTAGAAAGGTATTTACCTTTTTCTTGGATGCTTCTGACTTCTTTGACATGTTTCTCAGCTTTTTATGCAGATGATTGAGGACCTGAAAAGATTAATTTTCACTTTTCATTTTGAATCTTGTAAAAATATTTTCACAGCTTGTTGAGTTGCCTGAAGAAGATATGTTTAGCACATTTAGTACAGGCTCAGCTAAACATACCACTTTTCCTTACATGTGTGGGGGGAATGTTATGAAGCAAAGACACTGAAGCAAATACAATGAAACTAAGACATCTCCAGCAACATATATCTTAAAATAATTACTTTTAAGTTAAAAAAAATGAAAATTTAAGTGAGGACTTGCAACCCCTTCCTTAGATACAGATCTCCTTTATTCATTCATTAATTCATTCAATTTACACGCCACCCTCCCTGCCAGAGCAGGCTCTGGGTGGTTAACAGTGTAGTCTATAGGGAAATTATCTAGCCCTCTGTTTGGGTTTTTTGAGTGACATGGCATGTTTCAAATTTGTAAACCCTTCAATGATACATCTCTTTCACTCACCATGTTGATTTCATTGGACATAGTTTTCTGTAGCAGAAGACTGGGAATTTCTGTATAGCAGCCTGAATTAGCTTGGGCCTCTCTGTTTGGTTCTCTTTCACATAACAGCATGGTTAGCTGTTATTATATGACTCTCTCAGGCCTGACAATGCCCTCTGTTCTGACAATACACTCTGCCCTAAAGAATGGCTTATATTCCCAAGAGTCCATGGTAACAGCCTCCCAAAGCCTAAACATCTAGATATCAGAGTAGGTGGCTCCATTGGTCCTCCTTGACACTGGGAGAGTGTCTGGAACTTTCTAACCTTACAAATTCCAAACAGAGTTCAGTGGGGCATTGAGAGGCATGGACTGATTCTTATCATTGTCTTGATCGGCATCTGCCATCACTTGCACAAGGTATATAATGCTTGCTCGTATTTCCTTCTGGGGTGTCCATCAACAGCTCCTTCTGAGTTCTTGATGAACAGACACTCCTTTCTGAATTTCACAGTGCACTATCTCAGGTATTAAGATTTATGACGTTTATGTATGCTGAATATTAAATTGTTAGAAGATTGTTTTTGAAGTTCAATAATGCATTGTGGTTTTGAAGTTCAATAAATCATAATACATTATGGTTTGAAGTTAAATGAAGTTCAATAATACATTAAGGTTTTGAAGTTCAATAAATCATAGATACTTTGGAACAGAGCTCTCTGTCTCTGTCTCTCTCTGACTACAGGATCCCAGCCAGCTTCATCTCCCCCCCTTATCGAGCTGGGTGGATATGGGAATCTTATTTTTACCCAACATTTTCTTCAGTATGTCTTTATTTGTTATGGCACCAAGCCAGCAAATCAGTAACGTCATACAAAACCAATATAAACAATGTGTTAAAACACAAATATACAAATATAAAAACCATGGTCAAAAAGATTTGAGGGGTTAAATAATCTTTCCTTTGCGGATACAGCAACAAGTTGCACAGAATTTAGCTACAAGTTTGGTGATGGTCTGGTTATCAGCTGACAATAAGTAACTGACAGAGTCCATCAGACCAGGCATTTCCTTTACCAAAGGTAAGATATGGCTCGAACCAACTTGCACCACAGGCACCTGAGAAGCGGATACAGCAACAAGTTGCACAGAATTTAGCTACAAGTTTGGTGATGGTCTGGTTATCAGCTGACAATAAGTAACTGACAGAGTCCATCAGACCAGGCATTTCCTTTACCAAAGGTAAGATATGGCTCGAACCAACTTGCACCACAGGCACCTGAGAAGCATAACGTAAGAACATAAGAGATGCCAATGTTGGATCAGGCCAAAGGCCCATCAAGTCCAACACTCTGTATCACACAGTGGCCAGAAACACCAGGTGCCATCAGGAGGTCCACCAGTGGGGCCAGGACATTAGAAGCCCTCCCACTGTTGACCCCCCCCCAAGCACCAAGAAGACAGAGCATCACTTGCCCCAGAGCCCCTAGCTATACCTTGTGGCTAATAGCCACTGATGGACCTCTGCTCCATATGCTTTCCTAATTCCCTTTTGAAGCATTTATATAGCGGCATTATGATATTGGCTGATCTGTTTACAATACCCTTCCTAATAATCCCCAGCATAGCATTGGCCTTCTTTATTGCAGTCACACACTGTCTCGACATTTTCAGTGAGTTATCTACTACAACTCCAAGATCTCTCTCTTGATCTGTCTCTGCCAGTTCAGACCCCATCAACGTGTATTTATAGTTAGGATTTTTGGCTCCAATGTGCATCACCTTGCACTTGGCCACATTGAACCCCATTTGCCATGTTGACGCCCACTCGCCCAACTTTGACAGATCCCTTTGGAGTGCCTCACAATCCTCACTGGTTTTCACCACCCTGAACAACTTCGTATCATCCGCAAATTTAGCCACTTCACTGCTTACTCCCAACTCCAAATCATTAATGAACAAGTTAAAAAGCAGTGGACCAAGTACTGATCCCTGTGGTACCCCACTGCTTACACCCCTCCACTGGGAGAACTGCCCATTTATACTCACTCTCTGTTTTCTATTAATTAGCCAGTTTTTGATCCATAAAAGGACTTGTCCTTTTATCCCATGATTTTTGAGCTTGCTTAGGAGCCTTTGATGAGGAACTTTATCAAAAGCTTTCTGGAAGTCAAGGTAAACAATATCTATTGGATCCCCCTTGTCCACATGTTTGTTCACCCCCTCAAAGAACATTAACAGGTTAGTGAGACAAGATCTTCCCTTACAGAACCCATGTTGAGTCTGCCTCAATAGGTTTTGTTCATCTATGTGCCTACTAATTCTTTCCTTAATAATGGTTTCCACCAATTTACCCGGTATCGACGTCAGACTGACAGGCCTGTAATTTCCCGGATCTCCTCTGGAACCCTTTTTAAAGATGGGAGTGACATTAGCTACCTTCCAGTCCTCAGGAATGGAGGCTGATTTTAAGGAGAGATTACATATTTTTGTCAGGAGATCCACAAGTTCACAATTGAGTTCTTTCAGAACTCTTGGATGTATGCCATCTGGGCCTGGTGATTTATCAGTTTTTAAGTTGTTTATCAGTTTTAGGACCTCCTCTCTCGTCACCTCAATCTGACTCAGGTCTTTCAACACCCCTCCCGAACTCAGCGGCTCTGGAGTGGGCAAGCACCTCTCATCTTCCACAGTGAAGACGGAGGCAAAAAATGCATTTAGCTTCTCAGCCATTTCCCTATCATCCTTCAGTACTCCTTTTACCCCTTGGTCATCCAAGGGCCCCACTGCCTCCCTGGCTGGTTTCCTGTTTCTAATGTATTTGAAGAAAGTTTTATTGTTGGTCTTTACATTTTTTGCTATATGCTCCTCATATTCCCTTTTTGCATGCCTGACCACAGACTTGCATTTTATTTGCCATAGCCTGTGTTCTGTTTTATCAGCCTCACTGTGACTAGCTTTCCACCGCTTAAAGGAATCCTTTTTACCTTTTACAGCTTCCATTACTTTGTTTGTTAACCATGTAGGCTTTTTCTTATACCTGTTTGTGCCTTTCCTAACCTGCGGAATATATTTTATTTGAGCTTCTAGAATTGTAGTTTTAAACAGTTTCCAAGCTTCCCCAATGGTTTTGACCCTTTCTACTTTTCCCTTCAGTTTCCTCCCCACATGTCCCCTCATATCAGAAAAATTACCCCTTTTAAAGTTAAAAGTGGTTGTGTGAGTCTTTTTGGCCAATTCCCTATTTGTACAAATGTTGAACTCAACAACATTATGATCACTGTTCCCAAGCGGTGCAATCACTTTTACATCTCTCACCAGGTCTTGAGTGTTACTTAGGACCAAATCAAGGATCGCCTCTCCCCTGGTAGGTTCCATGACCATCTGCTCCATAGCACAGTCATTTAGAGTGTCTAGAAACTCAATCTCTTTCTCTCGACTAGAACACATATTGACCCAATCAATGTGTGGGTAGTTAAAATCACCTATTACGACACAGTGTTTTTGTCTAGCTGCTATCTTTAATTCATTCATCATTTTATAATCCTCCTCTATCTTTTGATCCGGTGGGCGATAACAAACTCCCAGTGTTAAGTTTCCTTTTGGCCCCCCTATTTCAACCCACAGAACTTCAAGAAGCGAATCCAATTCTCTTAGCCTCTCGATCTTTCTGGACTTTATACCCTCTCTGACATACAGAGCCACCCCACCTCCAACCCTTCCCCCCCTATCCTTCCGATATAATATATAACCGGGAATCACCGTATCCCACTGATTTTCCTCATCCCACCAAGTTTCTGAAATACCCACAATGTCTATTTTTCCCTCTGACACCAAGCACTCCAACTCCCCGATTTTACCTCGGACACTTCGAGCATTTGTATAGAAACAGCTGTAATTTCCCATACTGGTTAAGCCTGCCACCTTCCTCTTGCAATCTCGAGACCTTGTCAGGCAGTCCATGTCACTAGCCATGGTCTCAGTGGACAATTTCAATCCATCTCCCTGTAGAAAAGCAACAGGTACCCCCTCATCTCTCTGAGATGAGCCAACCCGAACCAGGGACTTTTCATCTCCTGTCGGCTTTCCCCCAATAGTTCCCCCAATGTTCAATAGTTTCAACTTCTCCCAAATCACATTGACAAAGTCTCTGGTTGAAAGGTATCTCCTGTATCTCCCCTCAAGGACAGCCGAGGGAAGGGCTGAGCATCTAGCTAAGGTGAAAGGTTTTCTTATCTTGTGATCATCTAAGTTGGAAAGGTAATTAGGAGGGACCTGCTTTGCTCGGACGTTATATAGGCTGGGCATCTGGCTAGGTCAAGCGGTCTCTCTGTGTCCATTATTCTCTGTTTCAGCACTAACTTGGCCTGTTCCCTACCAAAGGCCAGAACTACTTGGGGAGAAAGTCCCAGAAGGTTTAGTTTCTTATGGACCACCCTCAGCCATTTAGATTGAAAATTATCTAGTAGTATCAGGTATGTTAAACCTAGGGTTGCCAAGTCCTACCTGTCGCTGCAGCGGGGGACTCCCGGCTCACTCCTGGAGTGTGCGCATGTGTG